TTCACTAAAAGTTCATCAAGTCCTGTAATTGTGTTAACACTTCTCAGAGTTCACAGAATCAGAGAATTGTTAGGGTTGGAATGGACTTTTGGAAGTCATGTTAGGATTGGATGTGACCTCTAGAAATGATGTAGTCAAGCCCTCTGCCAAGGCAAGGTCACCTAGAGCAGGTGACACAGAAACAAGTCCAGATAGGTTTGGAATGTCTCCAAAGAGGGAGATTCCACGTCCTCCCTGGGCAGCCTGTTCTAGTGCTCTGCCACCTCAATGGAAAGAACTTCTTCCTCATGTTGAGGTGAAACTTCTCGTGTTTCCAGTTTATGGCCTTTGGTCCTCATTATTCACTGGGCACCACTGAAAAGAGTCTGGCACCATCCTTTTGACACCCACCTTTGAGGTATTTATAAGCATTAGTGATGTCCCCTCTCAATCTTCTCTAGAATAAACAGACCCAGTTCCTAGTGTCTCATAAGCAAGATGCTCCAGACCCTGCACCATCTTTGTCATCCTCCACTGCCCTCTCCAGTAGCTCCTTGTCTCTCTTGTGCTGAGGAGCCCAGAACTGGACACAGCACTCCAGATGTGCCCCACCAGGGCCGAGTAGAGGGGGACGATCTGCTCTCTCGACCTGTTGGCCACACTCTTCCCTATGTACCCTAGGATGCCATTGGCCCTCCTGGTTGCAAGGGCACACTGCCAGCTCAGAGTTTCCTTGTAAACCTTCAGCAATTTCTGGCCCTCTGTAGTTACAGGAATTAGGCTTATCCACACGGATAGTCAGTTAGTTGAAACTATCAACTGGATGAGCATCCATTCAACTGATTTTTTGATATGAGTGTTCAGCAGAGACCACCAGTGCATTTCTCAACAGCCACCATAAAAATTCAATGTTTTCACACACAAAACATTGTTTGCAATGAACAGTAATCTACTAAATAAAACGCCACTTGGTATGTCACCTGGTTTCCTTCCTTCTTTTTCCATTCTGCATCACTATATTGTACACAACACTTGGAAAACTGGTGGTTCTGAACAACCTAAACAGATAAGACAGACTTGACCAAAAAAATCATATTTAACTGGCGTCAATTTGTTGGGTTTTTTTTCCCCAGACAAAGGAATTGATAAGCTATCATTGCCAAAATGCCTGTATTGATTGATAATAACTTGCTTAAGTTTTAATTTTTGTGTTTCCCTATAGTCTCAGGAGATGGAGAGATGGCTTAGAAAACAAAAACTTTATTTGTATCAAAAGTAGATTATTTTCTTGCTGGAACAACTACAATCACAGAAAACTGAAGCATGCAGCTGAAATATGAAAGTCCCATCATTTCTTATTTTGAGCCAGTACAAAAAAATCCGCCTTTCCTTTGAACCGCCTCTACCTCTTAAGCTTGTATTATATCCTCATGCTAAGTTAAAAGCACAGTTATAACGCTGTCTTAAAGGTCTGCTTTGAATTCTTTTTAGACACATTCAAGCTATAGTAATTTAGCTGATGGCTGCTTGATTTCAGTGCAGCCTGTGAGAAAGCAAACAATCCAATGACCCCAAGTTCACTGAGATTGCTGGAAAATGAAAACAAGGGTTTTGGAAGGCCAGTGCTTCAACACATAAAGAAATATATTGAATACTTCAAAAGATATAAAATTCTTAGAACTGTTGGACAGGCTTCTGTGTGTGAACTTTCCTGTCCAAGTGGCATTGCTAAATACCATGGCACCAATCAGAGGGCTGACATCATATTGTTGTGTAACTCATAACCATAGCAATGTCACTTCTTAAAATGCAGTATATGTGCATTCAGCTGCTTAAGATCTCAGCTGTGTCAGCTGTTAAATAAAGTGCAGTTCAGGAGATTTATTTTGAAATATGATCTCTTTGTATTTCTTTAATAAAGGAAACAGAAAATATAAAGCTTGTTAAGCCAAGGTTAACACTGGAAGTTTGGATTCACACAACAGACACAGTTAAGAACATGTTTCATCACCAATCTAATTCACAGTGATATAGTCTAGTAAGTGGTATAGTCTAGTAGAGCTAAATGTGATCATTTTAATGGACACAATACACTTGGGCTTTTACATTAGAAATGGGCCAAAATGCACCAAAATATATGCAGTCAATTAAAAAAAAACAACATAGTACACCCAAATTGCAGAGTAAATGGTGCAGCTATCAGCCCGAGTGAACTCAATATAGGTTTGGTCCAACAACTACAAGCAATAGAGAACAACATGCAACAGAAATTGGGATTGCAATCCTCCTCTCCTTTATTGCAACCCTAAGTGCCCTTCCAGAGAATCATTAGCCTATTCCTGCTCTCACTGGAACAACAGAAATTGCCTCATTCCTGTGAGCTGCAGAAATTCCAGAGTAGCTGCTCTGCAGGGCAGCAACAGAAATGCCATGACCAAGAATAGTGCTAGTTGCCAAGTGGCTGGTGATAAACAGAGCTCAGCATTGCCAGGTACTAGTAAAGGGAATGACATGTACCCTTTGCCTGTGGTGACACACGGTGAGGAGTAGCTGGTGTAATCTATTAATCGTCCTTTTGGAATATCAGCACGTTGGAGCTGTACACCAGAGGAACTAATGTCGGTCTGATTGTGCCTTTCTGTGATTATAGTCAGCAGCAGTGGTGTAAAGCAGGGTGGCCTTTGCCCTCCTTATAATGCATCAAGGAGAACACTAGCACTGTCTTTATGATGCATAAAAATATGAAATAAATGAAATAAATAAATGAAATAAAACTCACTGTGCTCCTTAGGCTGCCCTATATTCAGTGAGATTTGAGGCTATACTTTCAGAAGTTAAGGGATGATGTGCTCCATGCAACATTGTCATCTGGGGTAGAGAGTTTTACAGCTTCTTTGGCAAAGATAAAAATACCTGAATTTCTCTGGTAACCAGATCACCATCTTGCCTTCCAACACCAGGCAATTATAAATGCTATTTCAAGTGCACAAGACTTCTGGACACAGATTACTTAGAGAATCAAGCCCATAGTCACTTGACTGACATGCTGCATAAGATGATCTTGTTGATAGCCAATTTCTCACATGTACAGGAAATTTAATTATAAATTTTGCAACCATAAAAAAGAAATTATGAGATGTTGAAATGTAAGAGTCCAGCAGTATGCAATTATGACTAGTGCAGTCCCTTTCTGTGCATTCCAAGAATCCAGAAATTAGACTTTCTAATATGAGAAGCCTAAATGGTCCAAACCATCCCCCATCTTCTGTATTTCGGAGAACAGATAAAGTGTTTCTTTAGATAGAAAATAGATAAAGAGTAAGCAGGTGGAAGGCTAGGACTATTTCTGGCTATGGGGCTAACTGGTTTACATAACCTTCAACCAACTAATTTTATCTGTATTTGTCTTACTTTCACCATGTGTGAAAATGAGGCAATGATGTTTTTTCACCTTTTAAAACTGCTTTTGAAATCCCTGAGTCAGGTAACAATTCAGGTCCAACAAAATACTACTTTTTAGAAGCTCACCCACGTATAACTCGAATATTGCAAGGGTTAAAGTTTTAAGCAAAGTGTCACATTGCAGTGCTGATGATAAGTTATAGGTAATAGTCTATCAAACTTAGGAAGACAGCTCAGTAAATACAAAAAAAAATAGATCTGTTTACATAAGAGATACAAATTGGCTACTACTTTCAGTCTAGAAGTTAATATATGCCATATTACTGCAGAGAATCCTGTAAACCATTTTTAAACAATTTTATAACAGTTTACATAAAACTTAATGGCAAGTTAAGTAGATCACCCCAGCAGGCCCTCTGCTTACTGCAGGAATATGGCACAGAGTTCATAGGTTACTTGAGACTTGTTCTCCCAGCCAAACGAGTCAAACAATAACACTTTTAGTCACTGAAACACTTTTCAGCAGAAGCAGATGTGGGGCTGACTGCACAATGAACAAAAAGAATACTTTGAAAAGAAAATGACAGCAAAAACATAAGCTCAGTTTGCAGTTTATCTGCGAACATCCTGGCTTTTCACCTTGACGCTAACTTTTTAATATTACCCCTCTCATCTGAAGATCAGTGCAAAGCTTCAATAACTTGAAGGAAGCTCATTTTTTCACGTTTGCATCAGATTTCTCTTCTAAACAAATTGGTGCAGTGTTTCAATCTTCATTTTACTTTGGGGTGTAAGTTCTGAGTCATCATCATTTAATTTTCTCCAAGCCTCCAGCTCGTGTTTTCTGTTTTTCTTCCTGGATGTGTCATAACAACTAAATTGTACCACCCCAGTAAAATGGTGAAGCCTAGCACACATCTGCCAGCAACAAAATACTGTTCTCTCACTCTAATTCCCCACACATTCCACTTTTCACACTTCCTTCGCATCCTCTCAATAAAGCGGTAGAGCCTAGTAAGCAATTTCTTGTATTTCCCACAACATTCTGCCAATAAATCAAAAGAACTACCTCAGAGAAGAGCACACTTGCCTTGCATGCTCTTTTCCTAGTTCCATTTCTATCAATATTCCCATGAAGTTAATTTTCTGAACTCAGTGACTTCCCTGTAGTTAGGATATCTGTCAGTTCTGGGTCAATACAGTGCTGATGAGCTGTGAAGGCATTATTTTTCAGAATTGCTAAGTAATTTTGATTTGGAAAAACCACTTGAGAAAAGTTTTGCTCTTTCAAATTTAATAGAAACTCTGGTCAAAATTTCCAGTATTCTTAATGTAGAAACAATAGAAAAAGAGTCTTAGCCTGAGCTTTGAGATATCCATCACGAATTTAAAGGAGTCAACACCCTAGTATATATCTTTTAAAAACCTTCTTTATGCAACAGAATTGCACCAAGGAGAAAAGAAGGTGAGAATTAGCAATAAGAGAAAGGTGTTACAAAAAAGGCAGAAAAACCTCATCTAGAAAGAGGTGAAAATGATGAATCAGAAGAAAATATAATTTAAGACAGAGGAGCCTTTAAAAGTTGCTAACCAAGTTCTGTGTTTGGCAGCTACCTTACCTGAACTAGGACTTTGACTCCTTTGAGGGTGAATCATGTTTGAACCCGGTTTCAAGGACAGTTCTCCTCTCACAAGCGCACAGCACATGCAACCTTGTCACATTTTTCTTACCACATCTGGGCTGGGCAGTGACCGCCCCACGTAGTAGCCATTGCACGTCAGTGGACAGATACATAAATATAGATTTTGCAGCCCTGGTTAGTGCAGACTGTGAAGCATCTCTACAGGAACACCCACACCAACCCACCTGACCACAAAGCAGACAGTAGATTCCAAGAAAAAAAAAAGTTTTTAAGAGAAATCTCACATCAATGTTCAGATGGGGAAATGTCAACATCAGACAGCAGGTTCACCTATGGCAGCAGTAACAAATGATGGCAGCCACTCTAAACAGCAGGAAAGTTGCTCGATGACAATTCCTTGAAATTATCATGAGGGGAGTATAACAAGAAAAAAATCCGAACCGATGTAATCTCCAGGGGATTGCAACTAGAGGATCTTTAAGGTCCCTTCCAACCCTAACTATGATTCCTTTTTGCCTCTTCCCCAAATTCCACCTTCGCATGGTGGAAGTACAAAGGTTGTTCAGTAAAACAGACCTAGGTAATAAAACAGGCCCACACTTCAGGGAAGAGAGGGTTACATTTGAACAGGGGCAAAATCATAGGGGCAAAATCATATAGCTTCCAATCTCACTCTCAGAAATGACTCAATGGTTTCAGCTGCACATTTTCTTTCCAACTCCTCTACAAGAAAACAAAACACCTCATGAACCTATAGAATATGCACAATTCACAAAACCTAAAACCTAGGCAGTTCAGGTTTAGTTAAGTTATAACAGCGTTAAGGCAGAGATTAAAATTAGAAAATGTCAGACAGTCTGAAGATTAGGTGTCATTACCTTTTCCAACAATTAGTGGCAATATTACTGTGCCAAACAATCAGAATTTATGTGTATGATTACTGAACTTTGTGTTCTGTTGCTCAGTTGATGGTAGTGGATATTTAGTTTGCTTTTGCAGAAGTATTTAATTCTCAAACACTTATATGCACTTTGTGCAATAAGTCAGGATGAATTGTTCTTTAGGGATTGGGCTTCCCCCCACTGACTCCAGTTTGAGCTATAGCAGATGCCATATAGCCCATCCAGAAGAGCTAACTCTTCATCTTTCTTTTTCTACATCCACTAAATACAACTTAATAAAATTGTGCCAGAGCAAAGAGACAATAATGAATGAATTGTCCATGAAGAACTCTGGAGAGTTTTCAACAATTTCTGTAAGGAAATGAGTCAAAATGAATCTAAGCAAGATGCAGGATATGGTACAATAATATCTGTTTTCTTTTGATTAAAAGGAAAGAACAAGTGTCCTGTCACTGGTACGTTCTCTTGATCCAGTATGGTGTCTAATGTGAAAGCTTAAAATGTGAAATAATAAATATAAAATGTTGGTTCTATCAGGAGACAATAACTCAATAACTACTACCAACTTCAACACAAAAATTTTACAATATTTTGAGTTTTTAAAGACTGATTTTTTAGCAATTTTACAGCATATCACTTTGAAAGACCTTGTGGATGCTTGCCAGACGTGATACAGTGGTAGAGGAACTCTGCAGCAGAGGGCTTATTTATCCTTAGATCACCCCACTCTTTTCCTCTCCAACCAGAGAAATTATTTCTGAATTTCCTAACGATCTTGCAAGATAAAAATTGAAAATTAGTAGAGCTAGAAATTACTATATTAAAAGGAGCATTATATTCCTTAAATCTAGTGCTAAGAACATAAACCTTTTCTAAGTCCTGCTTATCGGTGCAGTGACGTCATCCTGGAGTAGGAGAAAGATAATCTTCCTTGTTGCTGCATTATTGAAGAAGGACAAGGAGTCCTGACAAATGTGCTGCCCATCGTGCAGGGATGTTTAAATGCAACCAGCACTGAACACTCTTTTACATAGGATGGAATGGATGCACGTTGTGCATATTAAAACCCATGTGCTGTTTTCTTTACTTCTGGCATCCTTTCTCCCTACAACACAGGAACATGTTCCAAGCATTTTTTCAGTGCTTTGTCTCTGCTCGTTGCCTTTTTCAGTGCTTCTTCTCAGCTCTTTGCCTTCACGCCACCAGCTGTCACTCCAGTGACATTTCCCAAGCATAAAGCTGACAAAGAGCAGGGCAGAGCTTAAGTGCTGAAGCTGTGGAAAACAGTAGCAATGTTTTAAAATATCAACACAACTCAGTGTTTTGGGAACAATTTCCGATATTGTTATTTGAATAGGCACTGTTTACTACAGAGCCTCTCACACTGAAGCGAATTCAGTTATTTTAGAAAAATTTACTGAACTACAGCACACAGCTATTTTGTCACTAAATTTCAGGTTTTTCTGCCATAATGCTTCATTTAAATCAGATATTAAGAAAGACTAATCTGATTAATACTAAGAAATTTCTGTATAGAAAATTAAGAAAGCTATTAATATTGTGAAAAAGAGGACAGATGATGGAGAACAGGACAGATATTTGAGAAGTTTTTTGCTTTCTGATTTATATATCTTCCCTACCAACCTAGTTTTCAAATTTCAGAGCTGCATTTACAGGCCAAAATTACCTGAAATTCTAGCCGAAAAAAGGTCAAAAGTAGTTATCACATGGGGGTGCCTTCTTCCAACAGTTAAGCGTTCTTCTAATTTTCTAGTTCTTTCTGTTATCTGAACTACTGTAGTCCAAGATACAAATACTGACAGGAAAAACTACTGCAACATGCAGAGTTAGCACAAGCATTTTCCTCAACCTGTAAAAACACCGGTCTCCAGTACTGAAAGTAACTCAACTCCTCCACTCCAAAGGCAGAAAGACAAGTCCAAGTGATTTTCAATAGTCTCAAACAATCTTACCTAATTCTAGGAAACATTCAAGGTAAGATTTCCAGTTTATCAGCTGGCTTGATTATGACATTTATTATTCTCACAAGTACCTTTAGGCTAAACAGAGACCAAATTTTAACTCTTCTTTTTTCAGAAATAGTTCTGTAGTGTTTCTGTTCTTTCCACCTTCAGTGGTAAAAAGGAGAGAAAATGATCACAGGCCATTCTGACACAGCTCATGAGGTGACAGTGTTACAATACGCAGGAGCAATTTCTGTGAGGGGAAGACACAGGAGCCTGTAATGTCCTGAAATGCAGGCAAACCCTTGCTCTGCAGCATGTTTCAACTGTTCCGACTTGTAAGTGCTGCCACACTGCTAAGCAAATGTGAAGGAGCCCTCTAGTGTGAATAAGAAATGGACCTACAGCCCATAATTTGTACACAAATAACACAGGACAACAACGACTATGAACAATGTCACTGCCAGTCTTCAGGCATTTCAACAGCACACACTGCCCAGGAGATTCAACAATTACAAAACCTCCTGTATCTCAGCCCTGAAGTCAAACAAACAAAACAAACATATATGTCATAATATGATTTCAGGGCTAATGTATGACTAACCATAAATACGGTAATAATTGAAAAAAGGATCCAAAATCATGAGAATAATGTAGAAATAGAGTGCAGCCCTTGTCAGATAAATATTTTGTTTTAATTTTTCAATAGCCCGTGACCTTAAGAAAAATTGATACAAACCATTAATGGACAGAATGCCTTTTTTTAAACCTTATGTACTAGGATAAAATTTATCAGTTATCACAGAATCATTCATATCTTCTAGAGACATAGCCAGTTTGCACTATAATATAACCATATCCAGGAGATTCCAGTGCTCAGATCTATTTGCAAGGGGTAGTATGGCAAAAGATCACAGCCAAACAAGTAGAGAGAGACAGACACATAGAGAAAGATATTCAGTCCCACACAAGTCCATAATATGCAGTTATTTCTGCATAAAACCATTTTGTTTTATGCTTTGTATCACTAAGATTAGAAAAAACCAGCAAGGATGTTGTTTCTTTTATTGCCACCAATTCTAAATGAGACATACGTTAAATTTATCTGGTTTAAAGCAATACTGTTCTGAAGCTGCACAGAGAAAATCATATACAATAATTTATTTTTTGTGGGTATTGTCTTTAGAGTGATCATAGTTGATTGCATAGCAGTTTTATGATACTGAATAGAAAGTTAAAACAACTATGAAGTTTAAATTGATAGCAATGTATTTAATGCCCTGCTGTCTAACTGCTAGAGGGATAAACAAATAACACCTAGAATGTTGGAATGAGTTTAGGAAATTAATTAGAAAAAGTTATGAAGTGGTATCAGAAGAAGTCAAGAAGGAACACATGAGAGATATAAGCAACTAACAGATGATGAGAAATTGCAAATAATTAAGCCAAATCACAAGAGAGTCAGTTTAGGTAATCATTTAGAAATAAAGGGAAAACTCAGACCCATTTTAGACAAAAAAAATTGTGAAAGTGACTTCATTATACTTCCATTTAGGATTTTATCCTGGATGCAGACATGATTTTTTTTTAAATTTCACAAATGGGAAAAATGAGTGAACAGCAACTCTCACTAAACTTGCTGTATTCTCACTTCTGGAGAGGCTGCACAGCCTCCTTGGGTTATTTTGGCATCTCCTTCTCTGGCAAGCAACGAAGAGTTTAGAGGAATTTAAAAGAAAAAAAACAAGGGAAAAAATTAATCCAACTTTCCCAAACCACAAAAAATTCAATTTCATTTGGGATACATTTTGCCCAAAGTTTCAATGAGAGCAATGGTCATATTTTATCCAAAAAATCTCTCTCAATGGAAAGAACTCTAAAAAGGTTTTGCTACAGAAGACCTAAAAGAAAGAAATATCATACTGTTGGCATCTATATCCTCACTAAATCTGTATAAATACTAATAGTGCAGGAGGTTGCAGTTTAATTTTTCATTTTTTCAATTATATTTGAATGGATAATGACAAAGTTGATTTGGATAAGTTGTTAAATGAAAATTTTTTCAACTGCACATCTGAAATATCTGAAAAATTATTTAACCTCATCTGAGCATTCTCTAGCTCCTTTAGCTGTACCAAATCAGATAAAAGAAGCAAAGATGAAAAATTACAAGGATTTTGGTGTTTAGTTGGCTTTCTTGTGTGGAAGCTTTGTTTTCTATGCTATTTGATTCAATTTATGTATATCAGTACCAGATTTAATTGTAGGATAAACTACTATTAACTACGTAAGGCTAGTTACTTGAAAATATTAATGATCTTATTAAGACAAATTCTGGATACCAACAGGGTATGCCCGAAAATTAT